ACAAATCCAAAACATAGCCCCATATGAGCCACTGTAAAGAAAAGTAACTGTATCCCAGCCAAAACCAGTACAGAGTGCTTTCTATATGCAGGGCCCTGTACTAATGGTCTCATGTTTTCCTTTATGCTACATACTCAGTAATGACAGATGAAAGGATGGGAATAGTGTTTGGGATAGAAGTACACTGCCATAGAAACATTATGTTGTGACTTAATAGCTGAATTTTTAAAGTATTGTTTGGGTTTTTTTAATATTAAGATTTTATAGTTTGTACAATTTTTAAGCTTTACTGATTTTTGTCTGTTATTTTGGGGATAATGAAACTAACATAGCATATGTGTAATAACATGACAAATGGTTAATTGAACCACATATTTTTTTTTTTAAGTTTAGGATTAGTTAGCCTGCATATTTGCTTTCTATACAGAATATTTTAACTTTGCAATAAGGCGACCAATGTCCTTTGACAGATAAAAGTACTTTTATTTTATGTATTTGTTGCCCTCAGGGGGAAAGAATAAAGTTATTGTTTATTCCGCAAGCACATTAGAGAAATGAGTATTAATTACAACTTTTTGTTCTGTCTTTTTAGGCGCTCCTTTGAATTTTTAGACCTCTTGTTACAAGAGTGGCAAACACATTCGTTGGAAAGGTATGGGCCAATATACTTTTTCCCCAAGAATAAATTGCTAATGAATTTTAAGACAGAAATCTTTTCATTTAATCCTTTAATTGGATTATGTTGTTCAGTGTTGGCCAAGCTTTCTAGCATAGACGACCTTTCTAGCACAGCAGGTCATGTGGCTCATTCAAGTGCTAGGGAGGAGAGCTGTATGCTCCAGCCTTGACTTCGTGTTGCCTCCTCTCCTTATGCTCTGCCTCTTCTCCTACACCACATATGAGCAATGCGTACCATGCTTTCTCAGAGTTTCACTTATATCATGTATCCTGTGCAGCAAAGATGCACAGGTGAGCATCTGTCTTTTCTCCTGAAAGGAAGAAATTTGTATGTTCACCATAAAAGAGGGCAAGTGAGATTAGGCTGGAGGACTTTTTTCTGGTCGTGATTAAGAGCACACTGTAGCTTCTCCAGGTAGATAGGAAAATAGTTTATGCGTCAGCTCTGCAGAATGTATACTGTAAGCACAGAGTAAGAGCAAAGGGGCTACAGGGCCTCCAGAGAAAGCTCTGAACAGTTCATCCAGCTCCAGAGTCATCTTTCAACCCCTCAAGGTGCTCCTGAGAAAGGGAGCAATGGGGAGATCACTTGATTTGTGTCAGAGTGTGTATGTGTGTATTTTAAAAACAAAACAAAACAGCACCCTGCCCCCCTCCCAAAAAAAAAAACCCACAAACCAACCCACAACCTCAGTTGAATGAAAATCCATTTATCATCACAATTTTTGGTTGTTCTGATGGGCGCTTTGCTGTTCTTTGAGCATGTGTTGAGGTTTAGAACTCATACGCCAAAAGCTTTCAGAGGTGAATTTCCAGGAAAGCAAGCTTACTAATCTTAACTTTTCCTTTTTCTTACTATTAATATAGTAGGGGAAATAGTTTTTCCATTTCAGGAAAGTAGGTGTCTTTAAAACAGTATTTTTAAGTAACTTTTTAAGTGTGATAGGTGGATGTATGTCTGAAAAGTAGATTATAATTCTTTAGATTGAAGGAGAAAGCTTACCTAAACCTTTACAGAAGGTGCAATTATGTCATCAGTGTGCTTAAGCATTTGTTTACTTCGTATCTTAGAACTACTATCTCAGCTGGTTTTTACTTAGAGTAACGTTAATTAAAGTGTAAAACTTTACTAAAATAGAATTTGGAGTAGCAAAACAGCATGAAGAATGTCTTTCTTCTAGGCACGCAGCTGTCTTGGTTGAAACAATCAAGAAGGGCATTCATGATGCTGATGCAGAGGCAAGAGTGGAGGCAAGAAAGTGAGTTTTGACTACATTTTGCTCTGAAAAGTTGTTTGTTTTACATAAGCGGTACAAGGCTCTAATCGGAGGTGGGCAGCTAACTATGGCTGAAGAAGAGGACACAAGTTAGGTGGAAAATTGATGTTTCTGTTCTCTGAGTCCTGAATTAATATCTAGTTTCTTTTGCAAAAGACATTCTGAAAGTTGAGGCAGTTAATACTGTCGTGCAGCATTTGAGGATGCTACTGAAACAGGAGTCATAAAGGTTGATATTGCTGCATAATCATTCTTCCCCCCCCCCCATTAAGTCATTAAACGACTGCAGCACTTTGACTAGTGGGTAGGTCAGAGAAGAATTTCTTTTGCTTTCCCACAGAATCGGTAAGTGAATGTGAGAATTTCAGAGGATAGACTAAGTTATTTTGAAAAGATTAATTCAGTTTATGTAGCTGGTTTCTTTTATTGTATGCAGTATTGTATGCATTACGTATTTTCAGTCTGAGTTCCTTTCCCTCCCATCCCTGGTTCATTCTGTAATCTTTACTTCCTGACTCCACACTTTGAAGAAAATACAGAGCAATTACATGTGATTATTCTCTTATTTTGCAGGGCTTATCTGGGTCTTAGAAATCACTTTCCTAATGAAGCTGAGACTCTGTACAATTCTCTTGAGCCGCCCTATCAAAGAAGCCTCCAGACCTACTTGAAGAATTCTGGCAGTGTAGCATCTCTCCCTCAGTCAGACAGGTCATCCTCCAGCTCACAGGAGAGCCTCAAGTAAGGGTCACTTAACTGTTTCTGAGCCTATAAACAAATAAAAACTACTTCTCAAAAGCAAATGAGCCAGATTTCTGTGGTGTACGAGAAAGCTGCAGTTGTATTTTGTCACTTTTAATTTTATAACTTTTAATTTTTTTAATTAAAAAAAAAAATATTTTGTTGTGTTTTGCTATATTACCACAGCAAGGTGAAGAATAAGGGCAGTCATTAACTGGATTTTAGCAGGCTGTTCTTATTCATATATTTATTCCTTAGCAGTCTCTGTTACACCAAAGTATCTTCAAGGTTCACATCTTGATGTCCAGCATTCTGGTGCAATGAGTAAGTCTAGGAAACAAATAATGATGTTACTCCTTTTTTATCCCTTTTCACTGGGAAGTATGAGAAAGAAACATTGACAGTGAGATTCATTCAGATCAGAGATCTTTTTTTTTCCTGTCTTCACAGTATTGAATATGTATTAAGTGTTTTGCAGCTATGCTAATTACTGGGGGGGGTCTGTGCTGCAGTCAATGGTGTATTAAAATGTATAGACAATCTTGAGTTGAATAGATTAAAGTTTGCTTAGGTACCAATAGCAAAAGAAATCTATTGGCTTTTTAGTGGAAATGTAAAATACTAGTAGTAGTAGTGTGTAGTGATTTTTTTTTAATTTGAATTCTAGAAAGCTTCCTCAAAGTATTTAAACCTGTTAAGACTTCAATTCAGATGCTTCATTTCCAAAGCCAGAGAACTTTTCTGTTCACTTTTGACTTGAAAGCAAAGACTGCTTCCAGCCTATTTAAGGACCTTTAAAGGTTCTTGCAATCCAAACTATTCTATGATTCTATGATAGTGTAAGTTAATTTTTAATTTTGTCTTTTTTTGGCTGCTACCTTAAATACCAGAGACTTTCCCTCTTCTATGTCAAATCTTATCTTTCCTATGATACTTGTAATTATAAAAAACATTTTAAAAATAATTGCCTGTAATGTAGGCTATTGCTAACACTTCATTTTCCACAAACAAGTCTTTATTCAAAGATTAATTACTCTTGTTTAAATTAATCTATATTCCCTGTCTGAAAATCAAAGTGCTGTTAATGAGTTACTAGTAATAAAATGTTAAAAACTAAATTACAGGGAAATTACAGTCTTAAACTACTCTTAAATCCTCAAGTAAGTGTTACTTCCTGTATTGCAAGATATGCGAGTACTAAGTACAGAAAGGGAGGAGTAAAATAAGAGATGAACAGAAGAGATCATTATATTGGAAATTAATTAATTTTTAATGGCTTTTTCACTAATTTTGCATTTAAATGCATTTTGTTTTCCCTGTGCTATCCAAAATTACATTTCCGGCTTCTAATATAGATGCTGAGTTCTCCCTGTATAGACTAACTTAGGAAATATGGGTATGGTTTTCCTAAAAGACTGATCCTCCATGATTTTTGACCCTCTGAACTTATAGCTCTTTCAGATCATTGGTCAAAAATGGTTATAAAGGGGAAGGTGGAATGAGAGAAATGTGGTGACTTGTGCCTACCTATATGAAGCTGCTTAAATGAAATGTGCAAGTGCTGAAATTGTAAGAGTTGTCTAGGTGTTCTGTTTGGAGCAACTTGTAAGGTCAGGATGCACCCAGGAGCTCTGCCTGGGCCTCCTCGACTTACTTGCAGCAAAATACCCCCAAAACACTAGTAATGTCAGAAAAGCAGGTATTGTTCATGATAAGCTGCAAATACATGCTCTTCTGTGAGGGGTTAGGTAACAATGCTGATCTCTATATTATCATTGGGCACCTGAGCTAATAACTCAGATAAATACACAATATTATGCATTTCTTTTCTCTCTGCTTTTTGGTTTAAAATTGGAGAGGGATTATTTTTACTGAAGCTGAGACACTAGACTCAGGTTGTAATTTGCCTGTTGATGAAATAGTCAGTTACTTCAGCAAATACAAACCTTCCCAGTCAGATAAATATTTAGATGGCTAGATATGAATCAATGAATAAAGTATCATGCTTTGTTCTACTAGTCTTTTGCTTTTCCCTGGTCCCTCTGACTGCATTTTACCCTTCTGAACCAGGCAGAAGGAAGGGTTCATAGTTAAACTTGAATAGACACAAAGATTTTGCTTCAGCAGCAACTCATTTTTGCAGTAAGAGTAAAGGGAAACGGAGAGAAAACGTAGAGGAAAAGACATGGGATTTTTCTCCTTTTATGAATTGTGGGAGCCTTGAGTCTAGCTGCTTGGAAGTTCCAACATTTTCCTTTCTAATTTGTAATTCGATTCTTGGGAGATATAGGATTGGAAGATGCTTGTGAATTGCACACCTGTTTTCCTTGTTACTGCAGATACCACTTCACATAATTTCTTTCATAAATCAAGCTTTTTGTGTAGCTCCTGCTATTTTTGTTTGACAGCTGATTTAGAAGATCAGCCCTGTGGTTAAAACCTTGTACTGACCACCTTAAATGTTTCTGTGACCAAATCTGGAATGCCTGAACTTTGTGTTAGCAAAGTGTGCCTATTGGTAATCTAAGGATTAATGCTTAGTGATGAAGATGTAATTTTATAAAATACAAAAGGTAAGATGATTGTGTTTTCTTTATCATTCTGTATTCAATGTGTTTATCTAAAATATGCTGAGAAAGTTGAAGGGGAGAAAAGAAGAAAAGATTTTTTTCCTCTCTGTTGTTGTTGCCTTTTGGACCTGATACATGAGACTTACTTATTGGGTTTACTGACTTTTTAAATTTTTTTCAGTCGGCCTCTATCTTCTAAATGGTCGGCAGCCAGCCCAGCAAGCCTTGCAAGCAGAGGTAAGGTGCTTGCTACATAGTGCAGTGCACAATAATTGTTCTTTATGTTCTTTGAATTAAAAGTTTTAAATGCAGCTTAAAACCTTACTGTCTTAAGCATTTACCCTGTTTCCAAGTTGAATAATGCTATGTGTCACTACAAACTGCACCTGGAGCTAAGATTGCCTCATACTTGCTTCACATTTTATGTATTTTCAGTTGTTGCAAGTATAAGGCATAATTTGCTATGTATTGGTACTATTAAATGATCATCTGTCTTGGAGTTTTGTCATGAACAGTCACTCTCAAAGAAGCAAAACATTATTCTATGGTCTATGCATGATTATTAGGCTTATGGCATTTAGAAGTGAAGGACTCGTACCTTTCATCTCTTCACATGTGACTGCTGCCCTTTATAAAAAACAAAACCACAGATTTGTAATTCAAAGAGTTTAATTTTGTCTGGAGTTTCTCAGAATTTAATGTCTTCGTTCTCTTTTCACATAATGTGTTTGTAACTCTTGCGGAGTAAATCATTGAACTCCTTTTTACAAATGGCCGGTAATCGAGAGTGCTTGTTTTCTGGATATTGAAACTATTAAGGGGGAGTCAAGTTTTGAAGACATAAACCAATGGTTAGAATTAACTGAAGTGAATAGATAATATTCAGTAAATAGTAGGACATGAATATAAAAATACTTTACAGAAGATTAGACCCTAAAGCAAATCAAGGTATGCATTCAGTTTGCGTGTGGCTTTATCTTAGCTGAAGTGTGGGAATATTATCTTCCCTCAGTATCACAAGGGATGCTGTGAATTTGCTTACGTTTGTGAAGTATTCAATAATGTAATAAATGTCATAAATGTTCAGAACTAGGTAATTTGTACTAGGGTGGGAGCACATGTTTTGTATTAAATAATGAGAAAATTTCATGCTGAATGAAAATAAATACTGCTGTAAAATAAACTGTTCTTTATCTGAATTTCAGGGCAGCACCAGGTCTAGTTTGCTTCTTAACGTCAATAATACTTTGTTTAATATTAATTGATTTACACTATTTTGCATAGTTTTCTGTGCTTTTTGCAGTAGTAGAAAATGTTAACCTTTCAAATATAATTAATTTTATTCATTACCAACTAATTTCCTAATTTTTTTTTCTGTGCTACTTTCAGGCAGCAGCAAGAGTGTTCCAAGCCCAGGAACTCTGCAAAGGTCTCGCAGCGACATTGATGTTAATGCTGCTGCAGGTGCAAAGGCCCGCCATGCTGCTGGACAGACAGCTGGAGCTGGGCGCTTGTCAGCAGCTGGTCTACCTCCAGGATCTTACGCTTCACTAGGTAAGGGAAACATCTTTACAATACTGTGAAATTTTTTTTTGAGGTTTTTGATCAAAAAGTTACGGGAAATACGTCTACATTTGAAAAATTGTCGTCATTTTTAGTAGTACTGGAGTATTTCAAAAGAGCAGGTGTTCTGCAGTTACCAACTTTGCTAGATGTTTTGTTTTTCTTGTGCTGGAAGAATGCCAATGCAAAGAATGTATCCATACTATGCTCTTTAAATGTGTTAATCTGGTATTAAGTATTGGAAGGCACAGTACCTTCACTTAACAGCAGATGGTAATCATGGCATTTTCATTTCTGGAAGTAATAGGGAAATGAGTGTTAGGACTCTTGATTTTCCATTTTTCTCAGCTCTTTAGCTGAGTGTTTTACAACAATGCTAAAGAGACATCCTGGCAGTAAGTGGTGGCTTCTTCATGTAATACAGAAATGTTTTACACAGTAATATACAACATGGATTTCATAGCTTTCTTCCTAAGCATGTTGATGGAACTATGTGTATGTTTTTATGTAGGTGACAGTCTTCATTGATAGGAATACTTGTGGTTAGACATAAAGTGCTACAAATGATAAGAGTACAGAAAGGTATTTGATAGTGCTTGTGGTGATAGATGCTAGAACCTCCACTAAGTGGGGAGGGTAAAGGAATATGGGCATGTTTTTGTTCTTTTTAGGTTATCCATACTGCAGGGGTAGCAATGGGGGAAACGAGGTTCAGTGTTCACAAAACTTTTAGTTTTTTCTTCTCAGCTTACGTGTCAGCTAGATCACCAAGGAGGCATGTCCTAATGTCAGTGTTGCCGAAGATGATCACAAGAGAGGAAGAGAAACGATATAGTTCTTCTGATTTACCTTGTGTTTGGGGAGATGTTAGGATACACTTAGGCTATGGTTTTCAAAGGTTTTGGTTATGCTTTTTTAAATTAAAATGTGAGTTAAAATATTTTTAATGAGTTGATTTTTTTGTCATCAGGGCCTGCTTGAAATGGTTTGAACACGATTGATTTTAGGATTAAGTTTATGAGTGTGAGCAATGCTGACTAAAAGGAGTGCTTGGTACTTGAAATGGTAATTTTGCGTGTGGGCTCCCTCTAGTGCCCACACGGCGGAATCAGAGAACCTGCTAGGTAGTAGGTGGACACCAATGTTAGGCTGCTCAGTTTGCTTGGTGGAAGAGATATGGTTGTGGTTATCACTTGAGGAATTCTCAGTTCCTCCTAACTTAATGCCTAAGAGCCTGAAATAGGTGGGATGATTATTCTGCAAGATCAGAGTATTGCCTGACCTGTTTTGGTGTGCAACAGGGCATATTCTGAATCTCAGACAAAGCTGGCGTTCAGCTATTGTGAGAAGAAAAAGTGACACAGAGCATGGTAGCAGAAGGAGAAAATTGTCAAATGGAAAACAAAGGGAGAAATCTTTCGGTTAATCTATCTTCTTCATGCTGCTGAAATGAAGGGATTACTCTGGTCTTCCAAGAGTTTCATAGAAGATTAGCTCTTGATTGGAGTACTGGTTTGCTTTCAGAACGTTTTAAGCAATATGTGGTTCATGCCCAGAATTTTGTAAGCAAGGGTTGAGAAGGGCATAGAGGTTTTCAGGCAAGTAAATAGTGGTGGTTTTATGCAGGAAAATAACAGAAATAAAGAAATAGCTTATTCTCTTTGTAGTTTATAGATTAGGTGAGTGGGGAAGAAGAATAAATAGGCAGTAAGTCCAGGTCACGTTCTTTTGAAGGATTTGAGTAGCTGGAAAGGTTTGCCTTGCTAGCAGATGGAATCAGTTGTGGAGAATAATACAATGGTGGTTTGAAATGGCAAAATAATGTGATACTAGCAATGTATAGTAAAGTCAAATCCTATTACAGATGGTGTAAGGGTAGTGATAGTCAAGGAGACCAAGGTTTGTTTACAGTCATACAAAAGCAGTACCCCTTGGTTGATCTTGGCTTATTCTCCTAACAGTTTTTTAACAGTGGTAAGGTAATTTAAATGACACATACCTGTCCCCTCTTACCTATGTAGAGGGTATGACTGTTGTGTGTTTGGCTATGGATTAACCATGGAATCCACCCCAAAATATTGTTTACTCTTAGTTTTCAAAAGGTAACCTTAAAATGGGTGGAGTGTGAATCCAAGCAAGTGCCATGTTTCAGAAAATGGGCTAATTTGTAAACTTCTCCCCTCTGTTCATTTTAAGGGGGTTGTTTGTACTAAATCCAAATTTAGCAACTTAAATGACAGAATTGTCAAGATAATGCTGACCATGATACTAAAGTGCCTAGAAAATGTTATCGTATTTCCATAATGCTTTCCATGTATTCTCAGGTGTTGCAGTCAATAGCAAAATAAATAACATTGCTTCCTCTGGAGCTTGAATTTATTTTCATTTTCACCCTTACTTAGAGAAACATCCACCTTTTGCTTAAACAGCTGCCAAATTTAGAGCCTCAGAGGACCACAAGTTCATGAACATAGTAATCTATAATTGTTTCCACCCATCTCTTCCCATTTTATTATTAATAGAAGAACTCTTGCTTGCTTATTTATGTTTGGTTTTTTTTTTAAAAGACTGTTCTAGAAGCATGAGGACATTCTTTACTTTACTTATTCTTAATGTTGACTATCTTTGACATCCTTAAGTATTAATGTCTTTTCTGAGGAGACTTGAGCTGTAATTATATGTCTTACAGTAAATATTTTAATTTTGATTGTTACTGTCAGAATATGTATGCACTACCTTCCAGCTGAACTGGTAAATCTTTAATGCTTTTAAACCAGAGTGGAACTTTCTCCCATTTGTCCTCTGTCTTTGTTGTGATGTCTTTTTCCCTTCTGTCCCTTACCCCAGGTTGGGCTTCATGCTCAGTAGCAAATTTGGTAAGAATTAGAAATATTGTGGTTCAGTAATGATATAAATATGTACTGATGCTTCAGTAACTATTGACACCGAGCATGAAACAGTTTATTTTGTTGTAAGGGTTTGCTCCAAATCTGGGTAATACGGAGAGATTCAACATCCCTGTGCAGGGTACTTGTACCCTGTTCTGTAATTTTTGTGCTTTGGACTGAGAGAAACCAACTTTACTTAAGGTAGCTTATACATGCATGAATTAGATAAACATGTCTGCTGTATTTAATATTAATGTATTTTCCTTAATTAATGTTTTATGACTCTGCTGTGAACACCTTTATTCTAACACACTAAGTTTTCCATGTTTCTTTGCCTGCTTGTTCAACAAAGAGGATACTTCTGACAAGATGGATGGTAAGAAATTGTTTAGTCTGTCCTCTAATTCTATTAAATGTTTAATAATGTGTCTTTTATGTAAAATTATTAATGTTTAATATTTTTGTCTGTTCATTAACAAAATACTATGCTGTTTTCATTAACCCCTATGTAATCTTGATGTCTTAATATGTGTTGTGTTATTGCTGTATTTGTCAATGTTTTTGATGACTGGTCTGTATCAGCAACAGAAACTATCAGAAATTGGATGTTACTACTGTTTTTTTAAAAGCTCTATTAATTACAGAACAATTCGGTAATCAATACATGCTTTCTTAAACTAGCTCTAGTTCCATCATAGAATCATAGTTTTACCTGTGAAGTCAAATTTTTTTACTTCTTGGCAGAACAGCAATGGGAGAGCAAAAGATGCTTGACCACATTATGGAGGATTTAAAAACAAACAAAACAGAAAAAAACACTAAAATCTTCTCTTTCAAAAGTGCTCTATCAAAATCTAGTCTGGCTACATAACTTTAAGTGCCTGTAAATCCTGTAATACAACGTAATTCTATTAAAGAATAATTTGTTAAGAAGACCTACCTGGGAAAATAGCTTACCAAGTATTCCAGCTAAGTTTTAGCGCTTACTTTTTCTTAACTCACTGTATTAAATACGTGGAGGGAGTTGTCCATATGTTTTTATCCTAACTGCAAAGCAGTTGAGAATCAGGCTTCTCATAGCAGTTGTCTGTTTCAGGTGTGTGTAAGTAATGCTTCCCATATCATAAAATGACAGAGTCACAGCTTGATGCCTGATAATTCTAGTTCTAATTTATTGCTGGGGAACACTTAACAAGTCGGTTATGTTCGCTACTTACTTAATAATTCTTGTCACATGTGTTTATTAACAGTACATGTTTTGAAGAATGAGTAGTTTACTGGAAGCAAAGCAGGCGATATTTTTCATAGAAATGAAAACAGTAAGAAGGTAGATCTCTCAAACCCAGAATCCTGAATCATTTTAAAGCACAGATTATCAGTTGCATGAGAGTTAGTTTTGGAAGAATTTGAGCCATTTTTGACTATTGCAGATGGCAAGCCTACTTTAACAAAATGAGTGAGGGGTTGTACAGGGCAATAGTGTCTGTCTCGCTTATTTCCATATCAGATTTCCTTATGTTGCATATAATAGGATTTATTTATACCTATCTGTGCTAAACACTTAATCTTGAGCTTTTGCACTTTGTCACCAGCAGTAAGAGTTCTTAGGGCCATGTGTACAGGCTTTTTCTTTTGTTCAGACCAGTAGTCACAACTAATTGTCCCACACACATCTGTTTAAAAACAGTAGGGGAAGTGCTACACAATTGATCAGAATAACAGGGTTTTTTTTTTTTCTAGAGGATATCTGTAGGGATGAATATGCAAGACAGAATGAACACAGCTTAGCTCTCCAGCTGTAGTTGTATGATACAGCTGCTCTGATCTAACCACCACCAGGAGGAACTAATCGTTTTTCCTTTTCCCACTAATCTTGGCCATGTGTTTTTACCACTTCTTTCACTAGTGCCTTTTAATACTCTATTATCAGTCACTGTAGGTGAACAAACTCCAGAAAAATTATTTCATAACACAAAAGTGAATAGTATTCTGTTATTTAGCTTTTGGAGCTGACAGTGAGCCTTTAGCCATCCAAAACAGGTGGTAGTACAAGGGTGGAGAAGAAGAAGCAGAATCACCCCTTTTAAGGAGCAGCTAGCTGTTAGCCTGGCTTAGATGTTGCATGGAACCTGCCTTTCAAGATCCAGCTCTGGAAGAATGTTGGATTTGGGGGAGGGTAGTTTAGGGTTTGGGTTTTTTAATACAGACTGGCAAATTTGATCTGGAAAACTTTGAGGCACTGCTATATACATATTACTGTAACAGATTTTTGTGAAGAAGCATTGAAATTTACACTGAATTAATTTTTTAGAGGGATTTTTTAAAAATAGTGCCTTGAAGATAGTATAATACGAGAAAGCAATAGCCAGGTTTGCTGAGAAAGTTAAGTTCAGGCTAGCCAAAGACATTAACAGATGTTTTAATCATTGTAGTTCTCTTACAAGGCAGAAATGGCAGAGAGTGAAAACAAAAATGGAAATACCCTTTCTTTTTTTTTTGAGGCATTTAACATTTTTATCACTACTACTATATATTCTATTCCATAATCAGTTTTGTTTCAAGGGAACTTAGAGGAAGGATTGCTGTTTAGATAGCTTCCCATCAATTCCTAGGTACTGATGTCAGTAACAAGATTTGTCCAACTCTCATTTTGTCATAATCCAGCCTTTTAAGCTTGGCGTACTTGTTCAAGTGTGATCTGGTTTCAGCAAGTTCATATGACTTCTACTTCTCTGAGCAAAACTTGATCTTATGCATGTAGATACTCAGAGTAATCATGGATTAAATTCAGAGAAATCCTCCTTGCTGGCAGTTCATATCGAATTATCACTGTCCAGTGTGGGAAACTCTGTCCTTGTGTTTTTCTCTGAGATAATTTATAATAGTACATTTTATATTTTCAGAAGAGCTCGCACTAAAATATTTTTAATGTCTGTTTTGATCTGTACATGTCATTTTGTTGACTTATCTCATAGATTTACTTTTTTCTATTGGATTTTTTTTTTGTGGTTTTGTAACAAGTTTGGAAGGCACTGCTATATATTGTGTTCTTGTAAATCACTAAGTATAGTATGGGTGTTTCTTGATAATTTTGCTTCAGTTCAATAATGGAGTTGCAACACAAAAGCTTTAGACCTCGATAAAATTTATCAAGATTCATTCATAAGATTAATCTCAAAAAGGAATTGGAGAGACACAGTATTGTTTGGAATATCATGTATTTTATTATTTTTTCTGTTTAGGAACAGCTTCTGAAGATGGTAAGAAAATATTTTGTTAGAATAGCTAATATTTTCAGCTTCATATTTTCATTGATACAAATTAAGCTTTAAAAGTAGAATGTGGTTTTTCTGTGGCTTTGTGGAGGTTCGTAACTCCAGATAGCTTATGCATCTAATACTTGGTTGTCATGTAGTATTTTTAAAATTCTTTTGCTTTTATTTTACTTCTCAAGTACTCATCTGCAGTAGAAGTGTCATTGCGTAACATTTTTAGTGTGAAAATATAGGAGCTTTATAATTTTGCATTTGTTTTTTAAAGCGAATCTTGTCACAGAATATTTCATCAAATGTGTTCATGCTCTGGGAAGCAGGTGCTACTATTACTCATCTCTGCGACTTGGGAATTCATTTTCAATATGCTATTAGCATTTAAACTTGTCATTAGTGAATGGATGTAGAGATACCAAGTGAGTTAACACTTCATTTGCCTCACAGATACAAACTGTTTTTTTACTCTGATGAAATTGAACCAGGTTCCAAGTGATAATTTAACATAGTATCAAAATAGTGGCACTCTGTATTCCTAAGTTTTTGGGCCAAATTCTGAAAGCAGTTACATGCCTTGCAGTCTCACAACACTCAGTGGGAAAACATTGCCATTGCACGGGGATAACTAGTAGAGTTTGGACTAGTTAATCTAACCGTTCTTGCTAGCGTATTGTTTTCTAATAGTTTAGTGAATAACCTCCTTTATCCTGATTCTCTTCCTATAGACTCTCATCTATGGCTATTCCCTCTACTTGGATGAATAATATTAACTTGGTTGGTCTCCAAATTCTGCTGTGGAAAGCCTAAAGAGGCTAGAACTAAATAACAGTCTGTGTACCTAATTCTTCTGGGTCAAATATTGACTCCACATGTCTAGAAAATATTTTAATTATGCTCTTTTTAAATGTGGATTACTTGTTGAGCTAGATCCACTCTATACAAGCTTTTTGGGTTTGGTTCTTGCAACTTATAAGAATTATGGTTAGCATGGTTTTGGGTTTTGTTTCATTTTTCTGTTGTTTGAGAGGTTGGCTTAGGAAATGTAGTACACAGCTACTCTTTTCTTTTATGAATAATCTTTCAGTTACCTATAATTCATCCAACCGGGGTCTTCCTTTCTTTTGTAATTTCATTGTATACTCTGGATGTTATAAGGAACATGGCTAATAATGCAGAAGGATTTAACCCAAAACCAAGATGGTTTGGCATTCTAGAGAGAAGTGAATCTATTGTTTTAGTGGTAGATATGTGGTTTAATATGTCTTTTCCTCAGTTCTTCTGTCTGTTGAGGAGAGTAGTATTTCCTTATATCATGTTGTAACTGAGAAGTACTTAAGTGTACTTAGTCTTTGCAAAATGCTGTAAAAGGCTTGGGAAATCCTGTAGAAGTCTATATGACTGTGGCCAGGAAAACAGTAGAATATTCGGTAATAGGAACTCTAGTATTTAGATTTCTAAAAAGAGGAATGAAGTTGGGAAGAAACCTCAGAACCCTATTCAAAAAATAGTCAACATAATTTTTGTAGTTTTACTACAGCAAAAGTAGAATTACAACCACAAGTAATTATAAGAAGACTGTACCTGATACAGTAACATTAGCTTATGCATTACCTATTACATTCAATAAACTTCCCTTTTTTTAATATAATCAACCTATTTATGTAGGAAGCAAGAACTAGCTAGCTAGTTCAGGGTGTTTAAATGATAATGTGTAAATTGTTTACTGAAACATGTAGCATCAGTGGAGAAGTATTTTGGTTCCTTAGCTATTAAGTCCTTCAAGGTGTTCAAATTTCTACTAATTATCCCAAGCAAATTTTCACCAATTGAGTTACGTTATGCTTCTTTTTTTATCTACAGAAACTTAAGCAAATATTAGTAAATACTACTGATGCTCTGCTTTCTACATTACTGTGAAAAACTGATTTAATGCTATTTTTCTTTTATAGGTCGTGTACGAACAAAGCTTTCAACGCCTTCTGTTGGTATTGGAAATTCTAAAACAGATTCCAGAGGACGGAGTAGAACCAAAGTGGTGTCACAGTCTCAGCGTATGTATTTTCTGTTTGTTAGTTATACCTGATAAAGAGGCCAAATGCTTAAGCATATATTCATTGACCAATGGCTACAGTCAAAGTTAATTTTTAAAAAAAAGCTACATACTGAGTTGTTGTTCTGTGCCTTAGGTTCATCATCGCCAGACAAAAATGAAGGTATTTTTTTCAGTGTTTTGGGTCAGTGGTATTTGCATGCTTTTCTAATTCATGTTGTTTTTCTCTGGACGAAATAGTAGGTTAGATCTTAGTTTGCCAATTAAATTAGATAATGTAGCAGGATATGAAATCTACCCTTAAATTCTGTCTTCAATTATAACTTCTCAACATTCTTTTCCCCCCCCCTTTCTGACCTCCTCAACACGAAACACCAGTTAACTTCTGTGTCAGTTACATATGACGCATGGATGAGCAATACAGAAGAATGGGTAGGCTGAATGGTATCCTCAGTGTTACCTGCAAAACCTGATTTTTCATTTTTCAAAAAGTCTTGCTTTTCACCTAGAAATACCTATTTTCATTTTAAGTTAGGCACTAGTCTAGCTCTTGCATATATACTCCTTTTTTTTGATATTACAGCTGTTACCTTTACTTAACACTTCTTTGGAGTAAAAATACTAAACCCTAACATTATAATCAGTTACTTAGTTTATATTGAATCAAACAGTTAAAACAAGCAATTTACTGTATGTCAGCTAATCCACAGTAATTTTCTGTATGTGTTTAGAAACTAAAGCAAATGCAAAATTTCTGATCTAGTTGCGCACTCTGTCATTAATTAAAAAGACCTGATTACCTCACATTCTTTGGCACTGGCTGATGTACAGCAATTTCTTCACACATCTGATGTCTCCAACAGACATTTTCTGACTAAGCTCTGTAGTGTTTTCAGATTCTCATATTTGTCTAATTAAGTGAAATGCAATGAAATTAATGAAAGGAAAACAAATTAACAATAAAATTAAAATAAACTAACCAGCCCTATAGTTTGTCACGTCTAATGTTATAAACCCAGTAAATTATACAGGTTTTGAATTTTCCAGTGCAGTTATTTTGCTATCAGTAACCATAGCCACTTTGTTTTAATAAAAACCCAAAATTCGGTGTTTAATGGTAGAAACATTTATCTTCATAGCAATGACTGCCTTTATCATAAATAGAATGACTTTAAAGGTTTAAAAAGCAGGTAAAAGAGTTTTGGGTTTGTCTTTTTTTCCTGTTAGAGTACTTCCCATTCAGTTTTGCATTACTTCATTTTCCAAAAAATACAGTTGGATCAAACCTGATCCAATGCTTGCAGATTTTGTGAAATAAAACTTTCGAAAAATCTGAACAGATAAATATAAAATAATAAAATCCAATAACAGAAGTTCTTTTAATTCATTTTTTGCTTTGACGGTGCTCTAATCCCACAAGTGTTTGAGGGATGAGAGCTTGAAAATAGAGTCTAGTTACTGGCTGTAACAAAGGTTGTGCAAAACTTGTTTTACATTTTCCGTGTTAAGATGACTACACTATATCATAAGCAAAGGATATTTGAATTAATAATTTAAGTGGGTGGGGAGGTAACAGTCCTGTCAAATCACTTTTTCCCTTTATGAAAAGCTGTAAGCAGTGTCTGTAACACTCTTTTCATTAGTACTAGGAAAGTTCTGAAATAAGCTTTTTGAAAATACCTTTGTACTTTGAATAGATTTGGTAAATTCTTAAAAAGTTAAGGTGTTTGATAAACTGTTTGGGGGAGGGATTAAATTTAGGTAGCAATATAAGACTTTTGTGATTATCATTGTCATATTAATTAAACTGACTGTATGTTCAGGGAAACAAACTGAAGCTTTTTCAGTTTCTTTTCACTAATAATGACAGGTTTTTTCCAAGAGAATTCATTTTTGCACAATATTAATGTCTAAAGAGCTAAGTTGAATTGATATTGAAATAACTAGATTTGTCTACATGTGATGATGTGTGAAAATTAAATGCATGAATGCATCTTTACAGCCTTTTATTACTACCTCTGTTCAGAACTGATGGCTTCAGATAGCTCATTATAACCTGTCAGTGGGGGAGAACAAGAATTCTGAGATGTTTTAAGGAAGATAAACAGGGCAAATATAAATGGACAGGCAAAGGAGAATTGTCAGGCACTGGATGCCAGCTATTTGGGTGATGCTTCTTTATGTGACTGAAAATTTTCACAGCATTGTGGGAGATGCTTGATGTTTCCATACAGGGAGTTGTTTTAGTTCCCCAGCTTATACTGGGAAAATCGCTTCATGTTAGATTTAAGCTTTTATTTTTTAAAAATCATTGTAACACAGATGCTTTCGTAAATTTAGGGTTACAACTATTTAGCACTTTTGTTCAAAGATCATTTTATGAAAGACTTGCAAATTTGAATGCTTTTACAAAAGATACTTTTTTAGGGTTTTAGAAGCCCTTTACTCTTCCTCTTCTATTTTTAATTTGTAACATAAAATAAATGCATATACAATCTATGGCTCATTATTTTATTCTTATTTATGGAAAAAAATTGTTTCATTTTTTTCCTCTTTCTTCCTGTTTGGTTGTCAGGTAATTCAGCAAGGTGTGCTAAAATTACATTAGTCTTCATTCAGAGAAAAAAAAAATTCTGAATGGAAACAAATTCTTACTTTTATACTTCGGATTAATTTTAAAGACAAAACCCTGAAATTCTATGCAAGTCTTTTCAGTTGTGCCATTGTGAGTTTTTTTTTTTTCATCCACCGCACCTGCAGCTCAGTTCCTTTACTGTCTGTCTCAAAAAAAAAAAAGTTTTGGCCTTGTGTGTAATTTTTGTTCAGCTGTTGAATCTTTTTGGCAATGTAATATTCTTTTGAAGTAATATGAAGGCTACAGTTTCATGTTTAGTTGAAATTTAATTCTTCAGTATTATCTGGTTGTTGATTAGAAAGCTGAAGAATTGTAATTTGCTTGTGCAGCTTTTGCTTCATCTGCTTTGTACATATAGCATCTGAGTTTAGTTCTTCAACTGTGGAAGCTACTTAAAAGCACTGCTTTAGCATAACCCCCTTGTGGCTTTTTTTCCTGTGTGAAATGACTAAAGCTTTCTTATTTCCATTTGCCATCCATTTTTTAATCTGCTCTGCTCCCTCCCTCTTCATGGATTATAAATCCCTACCCTAATCCTGCCTTTACACTTGTTCAGGATCACAGTCTGCTAACCCCATTGGTGGTAAGAGTCTACAGAATTTGTGTATACATCATTGTTTGATCACCTGTTTGACATATCTCATTTAAGGACCCTATTCAGCAGAAATCCTGGCTTGCTTTTTTCCATATGCTGCACTTACCTAATTGGATGTAATCCTTATTTAGAAGGCAGTAGAGATGGGTGGTTTTTGTCATTTTGGAATACTGTTTTAGTAATCCTTCTTTCATCATTCAATTCGCTTAGATCTACTACTGGTGGTAGTACTGACAACAGTATGCCAATACTGTTATTAGCATAATATTTTCAGGATATTAAGCTTCATTTGGTTTATTTACGCTATAGTGGTACACTTCGCAGGTATTATAATGAGAGGTTGCATTTCTTCTATATATTCTGAGAAGAGTAAGTTTTTCAGGTTTCTGACCTATTTAAGAAAAATCTTCTGAAAGTCTCCAGCACAGTGAAAACTTTTACAATGCTTTCATTGTTTTAAAGAAATATAAAATATTGGAGGCTAGGAAGAAGGCATGGTAATATCAGGTCTGAGTTGAAATGCCCTGATACGAAGAAACTGCCAAACCTTTAATTTTTGCAGACCACAGCAATTTTATAGATTTGCCTATTCTTCTTTCACTATAGAAGTTATGCTTGTTTTTCCCGGGCTGTGTAATATTCTAGTTGTCATTTCTGCTGAATAGTTCCATAGTTTGGAAAAGAGATTTTGCTAAATAATCATTTCAAGTTTGAATTCAAACAATGAATCTGAAAGTATATGCATGGTACATTATTTTAGTTTTCTCCCTTCCACCCAGCATATGTTTTATTTTGTTTGGGATTTTATTTCTTTTCCCATGTGGTCAAGCTTTAATCAACTATCTCTTTTAAATGTGCCTCATAAGAAGTAACCCATGAAACTCACTTGAGATGTTGCATGTTAAGTCTATAGATCTGATAGTATAGCTGTGGTCATACAGTTACCTGATTATTTTTAAAAGATTAGTGAAAGGTTTGTATCTGTATGTAATTAACCTTTGGTTAAAATTATGTTTTCCTTTTTATTTGGTCAGACTTCTTGAATTTTGCAGCTGGAAACAATATATTTATATCAAGTGGTGGTATAAATTGGTGATAACTAGAGAAGAATGGATTCTATGTTAGGGCTTAGAACTTAAATTTTCTGTAACTGAAATACCAAAATTAGGGATCAGTGACCAGTTTCTGGTAGTGGGTACAGTGTGTTGAAATGAACAGTTACAGCACTTTGTAATGTACAGTTTTGAATAATAAAAATAAAGGACGCTTAAATAAGTCTTGATCAGTTTTTTAGCTTGCTTAAAACTAATTGAAGATTTTATTTGAATTTGTGGGGTAACCTCCACAGAAATGAACATGAATATTGTGATTGTCTTCAGTGACATTTTATTTAACTTCTCAGAGAGTAGTGCTTCAAGACCCCATGCTTTTAAAAGCAAGGGAGGAGAATTTAAATGTTAGGAAAATCATGTTATTTTATTATAACATTGGTTGCATTGGAAAAGCTGGGATAATTATCAAATCAGTAGTTTAAAGTTACTCCCTTTAGCTTTCTGGAGTTCTGTTCTTTTTTTTTTTTCTTTTTTAGTAGAAAATGTGATCAGTGAGACCATGTAGCTTAAAAAATGAACACACAAAAAAAGTTCATGTTAGGGACGTTGGAACTGTTGATGAAGACTAGAAATATTACTTATGGTTTCTTGAACATATCTAGTGCTAAATACCATGCCAAGTGCTTCCTTACATTGATAATTTATCTACTTTGTATGTAGTGCTATAAGAACTTGGACAGGGTTTTCTATTTCACGTTTTTACCGTGTAAGTTTTTCCAGACCATTTCAGTCTACCACCACACTCCTACTAACTTGAAGCTTTTTTTTTTTTTTTAAACTATGGTTGCTTATCTTCTATGCTGTTGCTTATATTTGTTCATCTTGCCTTCAGCTGGCAGTAGATCTGGGTCTCCTGGAAGAGTTTTGACAACAACCACACTTTCCACTATGAACACAGGAGTTCAGAGAGTGTTAGTGAATCCTGCAACTGCACAAAAACGAAGCAAAATCCCACGAAGTCAGGGATGCAGTAGAGAAGCTAGTCCTTCTAGATTGTCAGTAGGTAAGAATCATGAATAACTCTTGGTTTCTTTATAGCCCTTCTTACTTTAAATGCTGGATATCTACAGCTTGCATTTAGTTACAGGTGGATGATAAAATTAGAATACATATCGATAAAAATCTAAAACGTGCCTGTTTTCTGAAGCTAGTCTTTGATAAATGACACGATTTTAAATTTAAGCTGAAACTTCAATTTTTTTTCTGTTAGAATGCAGTAGTTGTTCTTTTCCTCACCTCCCTTTCTTCCTTCTCTTTCACTTTTCTTCACTACTTCACTACTTATCCCCACCCCCAAAATACCCACATCTATTGAATGAAAGTGTGATACCATTTTGAAAAGATTTTCTTCATTATTTTTCTGTGTCTTCTGTGTATGTGTGCATGCATGTGTATACTTCTGTGATACAAAAATAAATGTCATACTTCTTAAACCTCACGGTATAACCTGATTACACTTTATTACAAACAATATTATTGAAAAACATCGGTTGATTTTAATGGCATTGCTGCTGTTCTTTGGTTTGTACTTCGATTTTTACCTTAGCTGTATTAACTTTGTATTTTCCTTCTTCAGAAAGCTGTGGGTTTTTTCATTTGTGTTACTGTTGATTAACTTGATCTTGAGCACAAATTCTGAATCAATACTCTGTTCATATTTTTTGCTGCTTGTTTCCTCTCCGTCCTTTTCAAGAGGTTTTTCAACCATTCTGTAAAGAGTTGGTAAATCCCCATTTTTGGGTTAGCTGTGCAAAGAAATAATTTCATTGATCTGGCTACACTTAGTATAACCCAGCACAACCAAGAAAGTGTGTGGAAACAGTTATGACTTAGAATATGACATAATCGTCAGTGTCTTTTCTTAGAAATACGTTTTTGATCTTACTGCAAAACAGAATTGCATTAAAACTGCAACTTTTCTTATGTCTTCTCCCTTCTGTGCTGCTGTTTGTCTGTACCCTGAATCATACTAGCACGAGGCAGCCGCATTCCTCGGCCTAGTGTGAGTCAGGGGTGCAGTCGGGAGGCCAGCCGTGAAAGTAGCAGGGACACAAGCCCTGTCCGCTCTTTTCCACCCCTTGGTAAGTACTCAGAGCCTGTTGTTGTGCATGGCTGTCTTTGCCCTTCATTATTTGCACCTAACGAATCCGTGCCTCCTTCATTTAGCTTGTAGCCGGCCACCATTGTTTTCCCTTCCTTTGGCTCACTCACCACTTACTTCAATGGAGAATTGACCAATGTGTGAATGCGTTGCACACTTGAAAAATAAATGCTTTGCCTAGTGTTAGTCTTATCTTAAATACCAAGTCTGGAAAGGTGTGCGATATGCAGTGCCTAGAGACTTTTTTTGAAAAAGCAATTCTGCTTTTTAAAAGTTGTTTGAAATTACGTGTTTCTTTTTTTATTACAGCACTTATTGCTTGGGTGCAGTTAGATAATCCATTTCTCACTGACCAGCTAGAGCAAAGAATACAGTGCGGCTGTCACCCTCTGCCTTTCCCTGCATCAACAGATAGGGTCTGCTAGTATTCAAAATTGCTCCCTAGTCAATGAATCATTTTGGTGTATAAGAAGAAAATATGCTTCATTTTATGTCCCTTAGCTACACTGTCATCGCTGTATTATGTGAAAAAATAATAAAAATTTTAACTTTTTGCTCTTAAAGCAACTAAATATGATGGTGCAGATAAGGGACTAGTCTACTGAAGCAGAACTATATTCTGAGGCTGCTTTCTGTTTTCTAAAAATGAACAGGACAAGTCCTTATCCAAGTAGATGAACCAAAGTACAGTTCTGAAGTTTACTTTTAATCTGTGTAGAACAAGTGATAAGTAGTTAAAGTAGCATCTATTGTTACATAGGGAAGAAGAGAGGAGTTGAAAACATTCACATGTGCATAGCCATGTTCAATCCTCGTTCCTAGAGCTGCTATAAGTAAAAGTTTTGTTTTCACTTAAAACTTTGTTTCACTTATTGGCCTGACACTTAAAAGATTTCGCAAGATTGTCAAGTTGTTGTCCGTTTCTGAAATGTCAGTAAGGCATAGGAACATTAGCCTATAATTATTTTAACATGATGTTGGTTAAGGATTAGGGAAGCTTCTCATCTCCATGTATCCTCGTCAAGGTTACTATGAAGTTGGTAGTAAATTTTTATAAAGTCTTTTTACATGTTGGGGGGGGCGGTTTTATTGTTTGGTAATGCAAAACTGTCTCTGTAAGATTGTATCTGAAACTGATCTTTTTTGGTGTTATCTTTGTCTGAGTTAGTCTTCAGTATGTATCCCTCTTTTGCTTGTTCAAGTGTAGCTTACAGTTAAGGACTTCATAATACTAGCTGTTAAACATAGTCTGAAAATAGTAAATCTCTGGTTTCTATCTCAAATTGAGGCACCTGACTGTGCTCCTAATTAGCATTGAAAGTCTATTATGGTCTGTTAAGACAGTATGCTTCCTGTCAGCCATGGTTTTATTGGAAAAGTACAGATTAATTGAATGAAAGCTGTTTCAGTAACTAATGCTAATTTGCCCAGATGCTATTTAATTGGGAAATTAGATTAAAAGTAGACATTATACAGGATCCATTAGTAAACTCATATCTTTTACCAAAATACAGCTGGCAGACTGTGTTTAGTACACGTGTCCTCTTTTCTTTTAAAAATGAGGGTATTTTCCAGATATTTTTGCACTTCTTTTGTTACCTTACAGCATGACTTCAATTGCATGCATGCGAGATCTGATTTACATTTTATATTTGATCAAATGCTTGTTATCTTAAGAAATCTGTATTAAACTAATACCATAAGATGGGTCATTGGGACGGATGCTACTTGAGGTTTTATTTTTATTGATGGAGTTTAATTTTTATAGTCAGATATCAAAATAAGTACCTGTACAGATACCATAGGTTGAATTGTCTGATGGCACAGAGAATGCAAAGTAGCATGTATAGGAATCCAGTGTTGTTAAAAAAATAAAAAAGGCAGCTATACCTGGAATAAATGAGGATTCCTAGGATTCCTTTTAGTATGACTTCTTAATTGAATGATTTCGAATGTCTTTCAGTGTTTTGTTGGACCAGTTTTGTCTCATGGGATGCTATTAACTTTTATCATAAATATTAAATTTAATGTTTTTCAAGGGTACAAGTGGAAGATGAAATAAGGCGAATTCAGTTCTGTGTTTGTAGCTGGAGACAGTTTTATATGGGATTGGAGGGGGGAATGTAATTTGTATTGCGTCTGATTGTCAGCACAGAAATTTTTGCTTACAAATGTTAAGCCCTGTGGGGCATAAAATGACCCAAATGCTATGTAATTGCTTCTCTGTATACACTGGTATACAGTGTTTCAGTGAAGCGTTTCTGTAATCTCACAATTCAGTATAAGATTATAAACTGGGAGCTAACAGCCACTCTGTGAAGCAAGTGATTTGTAATTTATATGGAAGTGCCTATTTTTCTGTTACATATAGTTAATATTAAATATCAGACTAGTATAATTTCCATATTGTAGCTAAGAAATTATGTTATATTGAGTCCATGTAAATCTTACTTTGATTCATTTTTTAAAAAATGAAACAACAAAAGTAAATACTTGCACAATTTCTGCAATTTGAGGGGTACAAAGAATATTCTTCAAAATATACTTTGGAGTGAGGTATGTTTGATCCAATATGGTGCTTCCTTTCACTGTCTTAAAAACTTGTCCAGCATATTTCAAAGGTATCTGGGGGCAGGATCATCTTGAATTATATGCCTAAAGTTTGAATTTCTAATTGTACCTTTAATTTTCAGGGCTTGTTGATGGAAAGCAATAGAAAGGTTTATCCTGTTATTGCTTGTATGTAAAGCTCTATCAGCCTTGAAGCCTATATTTTGACATCCTTTGTCCTGTCTCCTTTTCCATGCTGAGACATACTTTCTAAAGAACCAAGTATTCCACAAAGCATTATTTGCAAAATAAAATTCCCTAGCTAAACAGCTTCATGCAGGTTTAGTTTGAAATAAAATACATTGCTGTGCTTTATGTAAGGAGTAGAGAACTTTACATGGAAAAAACACAATGTTGTTTCTGGGACCTTTACAGGACTTAGGATCATTTTGGAGTTCACTTAGGTTAAAAGAGGTGTGCTTCCCCAAATGTGATTTGGTCAACGTCAGGGTGTTTGATTCAAATCAGACTCTTAAATTGCCTGTGTTAATCAGAGTAAAGGATGATTCGATTCCTGGTTTCTATTTATACTACTTTATGTATCCAAAAGGTGCAAAATACCTGCATTTACAGTTATTTATTAAATCATTAAAGATTATATCTGGGGTTTATGTCACTGTGGGTGGACGTTTGAATTCAAGTTAAAATTGTCAAAACCAGTTTCATTTACGTGTCTGTAAAATTCTAACTTAAGAAAGAAGATTAATTGTTTAAAAACACACTGAATTTAAAATTACTTGGTTTAAGAAAGAGAAAATATTAGCAATGGTGAGTTAACTTCTTTAGTATCTCTAAAAGACTAGTTTTATACAAGTGCCAGAAGGAGGAGGGTACTCAGTTTTATTCAAAAGTCCTTAAGGATCTTTGGTTTCCACTTTCCATAACTTTAAAGAATCTTAATGACCTATAGTAACTAACATAAATGTTTCAATTTCACATTTTATTTATTTAAAGAAAACAATACAATTGTGAACTATTAATTGCATTAAATTATTTTAAACTTCTAATGAAAATTGAATAATTTTGACTTTCATCTAAGTAGTGGTGAATTTTATCTGAGGTTGACTTAACTGCACATAGGCAAGAACTCAAGTTTATACGAACTGTCAGCTGCTGACACAGTAAGTTTGTGCAGGAGTCACTTTTTGCAGATAATGTTTGGTACATGAGCTCTGGCTCTGACTTCAGCACGTAGAACTGAGTTAACTCTACAATGGAAGACCGGTATCAGTGGAACTTTTTAGATATTTCTGAGAATTCTGTTTGTGTGTGTGTGCGTGCATGTGTGTCTACGCATTTTTTTCTTCTTGGAACTTAAACATACTTGCTTTTAATCTGCTCTTAATCTTTTAAATTAAAAAAAAAATTATGCATGAGATGTCCAGTGTACATAAACCTATATCATTCTATGTAATCATATTCTATATAATCAAAGAACTTCTCTGAAGCTTTTTCCTTCTGTGTAATACTCAGTTTCTTGTGCTAAAGCTGAATCTTTTTGATAAGTATTCTCTTGTTCATCTGAGCAACTATTGCAGCACTTTGATTCCATGGTAATAGATAGGGTTTATATGATCCTATTATTGCAGCTTCCAGACATCACTCCAGATCCACTGGTGCCCTCTACGCTCCTGATGTTTATGGGGCTACAGGTGAAGGATGAGTACACTTTGCTGTCATCTGTGCAGTCATCCTGGATTTTTTTTTCCCCACCCACTTGGTTATTCTCATAGTTCAGTTTTAAAAAGCATTATTTATATTTATTTGAGTTTTGTGGGTTTAATAATCCAAATAGATGTGTTTACATTGCTAGATTTCGTCTCCACCCCCACCCTCCAATGTTAATCCTTTTCTTCCTTAACAACAATCATTTTATTTTTACTTGCAGAAGAACTTTTTTTTAGTTTTTCCATTTTTCAGTATTTGTAGAGCATTCCTTATGCATGTAGTTTTCTAATCAGCACTCTCATTAGCCTTCCTATTGTATTTGCTTTCTTTTTAAATGAAAACAAAAACCCAAAATGAAGAAGACATGAATTTTTTAAAAAAGGAAAGGTTCTTTCAGTTAAAACCATTGTTTGGTGGGGGCTTTTTTCCCTGTGATATTGGAATAGGATGTTTATATATGACTCTGGTTTTTTACTTCATTTCTTACTTTTTGCTGTACCACTAAAGACTTCAGAATGAAAATAACCAGTATTTTAGCCACTACCTAATTTATTAGAAATGTTAAGCAAATGCTTTTCTTCTGCTTGGGTTTTTTTAAGTGAGTGTGGTATTAATGTCCCACGTTCCTATTCTGACTGAATTCTTTATATTCATTTTTGTTGTTGTTATAACAGGTACCGGCTTTGGAATTAGTCAGTCAAGTAGATTGTCATCATCAGTTAGTGCTATGCGAGTTCTGAACACAGGTTCTGACGTGGAAGAGGCAGTAGCAGATGCTTTGGTAAGAATCTTGCACTTATCTTGTGTAGGACTCAGATTCTTAAAATGTTTGGTATCTATACATTGAAGTATGCAGAAGAACTTGTCGTTCATTATTTTACTGGCTTCTAGGTGGAGAAAAAAGAGAAACTGAATTGCTAGAGCTGCAAAGTATTGCAATTTTTGTTCCCTACAGAAGTCTTAGCTTTTGAGAAATGTATTTTTTTCCATGGTAGACAGGAAATAGTCTTAGACTGTTCTGTTGGAGTGGCCCAAGAAGCCACTTGAGCAGGTAGCACTAACTAGCAGTTTCCCACAACAGCCAGACAAACTTCCGGATAGGCTGAAGGCTTGTCAGAGCTGAGAATGACAACAGCTAAAGCACTCTCCTTATCATAAGCCTGGATTCCATTTAAAGTTGTTCTCTCTGACAACGTGTGAGATTGATGCTGAAGAGATGGCTTGGCAGGGCAGCATTTAATAAATTTAGTTTTTGTTTTCTTTTGTTTTCAAAATGTTACTTTTAATTTAAAACTGGTTATGCCATTCTCTTTCTTAACCTTTACTATTCTTTAAAAGGGTGGGTTTGGCTCCTCTATCTCCCTGCCCCAGTTAGCCAAACAGAACTCATCGTGTATTTTGCTATTCTGACGTTTAAATCAGCAAGCTGAAATCTTCAGTTAATTTAAAATACTGATGCTATGAGTCAGATACATTTTTATCAGGTATTGTATACTATTTGCATATCATTAAATATTTGTAAGTACCTGTTATCTAGTTATCAGAATGCTTTAAGGAATTTGTTATTGCTCTGTTTTAACAAAAAGATTATTTGGAACATTAATAAAAAACTACGAATTAGACTCTAAAAAATTTAATTATAGCTGGTTATGACTGGATAGAAAGAAAAACAAAATTTCAAAGGAAAAAATCTGAAGAACTCTGTCATGTTCTTAGTCTGGCAATTTATTGATTTCTTGGTTAATACTGTCTTCTTGGCACGTTAGCTTAAAATTCGTGTGCCTTCACTGGCATAGAGGTCAGGATATCTGTGAAATCTTGCCTAAGAGGTCATGGTGAGGTTGAGTGGTTTTTCCCCTTTCTGATATTGTAAACCTGAAAAAAGTTTTCAGTGTTGATCGGGAATGCTAGTTAGTAAACTGGAAGTCAATCTGGATTTTGGAATAGGGAACAACAGAAAAACAGTCTGTGAAACATGAAAAGTTTCTGGCTATAATTTGAAAGCCTGTGCTATAGATTTACCCAAACTGGTGCTACATGAAGAGTATCTTCAGTACTTTTAACAGCTTCATAGCTTATTCAAATTTAGCTGGGCAAAGTATATAGTAAGAATATAAATTGAGGAGAAACTCATGCTTCCAATGACTGCTCTTGAGGCTTGAATGTGTCATGCTTTGTTGAAGTAATAAAGTTTGTTCATAGAGACTGGTTTGTATTACCTGAATCCAAAATAGCACAAAGCTTCTGGAAATGTTAGAGGAAAATTAGTTTGTATATTTTAGCTAGAATCTGTCATTACAAAGAAAGATCAAGAACAGCAACATTTTATTGTCATAGTATTTGCATGCCTGGCTGCTTGCCATGCTCTAAATGTACAGGTTGTCCAGTACAAATAGCTTCATTTAAATGGAAATCTGGTTATGAACACCCTTCTTGTTTTATCACAGACTGAAGCCCCCTTTTCAGAACAGTGTTTTTAAAAGGTAGAATGTAGAGTCCTGACAGATGTAATATAAAAATCGAAAATATTGTGGATTGTATTACTATTTTTATGGTATGAAAAATACTTGGCCAGTTATAATACTGCGCAAGCCAAAGGGGTATCAGTCTTCTGGCTAAGATCTGGTTTGAATGTAAGATGCATGAAATGCAGCAATATGGTGATCTTTACATATTTTTATACCTTTTACTTTAGCATTGGCATTTCAGATTCTATTTCTTTAAAAAATTTTTTTTTTACTTATGGTGACCGTTTTCAAAAATGCTCATGTCTTTCTGATTTTTTCCCTCCCTTTATTCTCTTACACGTGTATGTATGCTTGTTCTGTTGACAATAAGCTTGCTTGTTACATGATGTATTGGCTAGTTTGTATTGTGATATCCTTTAAGTTACTCCGCAGTTAAAAATGAGAACCCTGTGCAAATGGCAATGGTAATTAAGGGGAAAACAATCATTTATACTACTGCTTCTTTGAGTATTTAATGAAACCGAATTTTTAGCTACTAGCTTCAACTCCAAAATTTGAATGGCAGAGTTATTTTGCAGAGGTGTGTGTTTTTCCTTTTAGGATAAATAGCATGTTTTTTTTTCCTCTGGCCTTTGGCATGTTGTGTTCTGTTTTTTGGCTTGTTTTTGTTTTTAGGGGATTTGGGATTTTGCATTATGTAATGAATTTTTTTGTAGGACATTGACTGCTGTAGGAGTTGTTGCAATGACAAAATTTAGATATTGAAATGAAGTTAAACAAAGAGATGGAGAAGTTGATGGGAAATGAAGGTTTCATACCTAGATAGCAATTGACTGCATGTGTTAAGTCTTCATGCTCAAATATCACTGCATAAGACACAAAGATTTTGACAGAGAAGTCTTTGTGACCAACCAGCAGATGATATGTAATATTTCCCTGGAAATGGAAACTTAGGAAACTACTTCTTGGCAATGCATGATATGCTAATCAGATACAGAGAGGTAAGAACAAAATTTACAGTAAGACTATATGTTTTCCAGTGGCAGGTAGTTTAATAGTCACAATGCTGCTATGCCTTACCTTCCTGTTCTCAATTTCTGTTTCTTTTCAATAATTTACTGCTAACAGCTCTTAGGAGACATACGGACTAAGGTATAGAAACTATTTTCCTTCTTCAATAGTTTAATATTTTACTATTAACATGCTTGATACAAAGTAAGTTAAAATGACAGAATATGTGGGTTTAGACCTGATTCTTACATTCCATAACATATATAAAGCTAAGTGAAATAACTAACTTTCAATACAGTCTTTATGTCACCCTATAATGCAATTTTTTGGATTTTTACAAGTAAACTTTAAGTTGAACATTTCATCAAACGTATGTCTTCTCTGCATTTGCTGTGCTTTTATATTTGGAATACTACGCAAACCATACTTCAAAATATTTTTATTAACTCGGTTTGACCTGTTGAACAGTTGGAGCCATTTGTCACTGCAGGGAGTAGGGGTCACACCGATTACTTGAACTGTTGGTCTTTCTACTGATTATAGATATATATATTATCTATAATGTTTCTGTACAATAGAAGAAGCCTGTGCGAAGAAGATACGAGTCCTATGGGATGTACTCAGATGATGATGCCAACAGTGATGCATCAAGTGCCTGTTCAGAAAGGTCCTATAGCTCTAGGAATGGAAGCATACCAACATATATGAGACAGACAGAAGATGTGGCTGAAGTCCTAAATCGCTGTGCCAGCTCCAACTGGTCAGAGAGAAAAGAAGGCCTTCTAGGTCTGCAAAACTTATTAAAGAACCAGAGAACTTTAAGGTAAGAAGACATGTTAACAGAAAAACATTTTATTTCAGAGTTGAAGTGAGGCAAGGGAAGTAGGAAAGGAGGCTAATGTTCTAAAGAATACAGAAAGTTGGGGAGAGGGAAAGCAAGGTGTGTGTCTGTGAGAGTAAGATGGGGGAAGGAATGAGGAAGCTATTGTCACTTCTGGCCACTAGCGTATAGGATCTGTTTAAAAAGCTCAGTTTAAGAAATTGAATTTAAGATCAAGGTAATTCTGCCAATACAAAAGATTCCTAAAGTGCTTACATCTAGTATTGATGGAAGGCCTTTATTTTTATTTATGTATGTTATAATTTATTTTTTTATTATTCTTATTTATTGGGTATTTATTCAGAAGAAACTGTTTACTACTAGTTATTAAGAATACCTTTTTCATTATCTCTCTATTAAAATAGTTGGGAATGGTTTAATATATGAATTAGTTTAAAGAGACATTTCTAGGTTGAAAGTCTCATTTTAGACAAAATCCATTACATTTTTATCCATGTCTTAAACAAAATGCTTTTTTCTCCTTCATTTACTAGATTATTTGATTTAATATTTACAGTTGATTTCACTGATTGCTCTGCATTAGTGTTCCGGTAGTACTAGCAGGGGAGTTGACTAATGTATTGTTGTCACTTTGACAGTCGTGTTGAGTTGAAAAGGTTGTGTGAAATCTTCACAAGAATGTTTGCTGATCCTCACAGTAAGGTATGTTTAGGTTTTTCTTACTTGCAGTAAATGTTTGAAAACATATATTAATAGAAAGCCAGTTGTGGTAAAATATGTCAGCAGTATTTGCACATGTAAAAATTTCACAAACTGTATTTTATAAGCAGTTAATGGTGTCAGATTTCAATCCATTTAAATTGCACTTTTGAACAAGATAATTTTCCACCTTTTTTGCAGGATAATTGAAATAAAGAAAAGGTTAGTTTAATCTAAAATGTATTGATATAGTTCAACAGTTTGTGCTCAAAATTTGTAAGTATTTTTAAGAAGTCATGTTGTTTACAGAGGTCACTTCAACATGAGTAAAGGTTTTCTCTTAATTAGAAACAAAAGGCTATGGTGCAGTAATTTAAATTGTAAAGAAAGTCATCTAAATCATACATGACGAGTCTGATGAACTATACCAAATGTGTACTTACTTGTTTTCCAGGGTATTTTGTATTATGTTATGATGTCTTCCTGGAATTTCATAGATAGGGCTGGCAGTTGAGACTGTTGAGTAATTTTCACATCATTGTTAGTATTCAATAGTAAGGTGGAGACTATACTTCGGTATAAAAGAAAACGTGATGTTTTATTCGCTTTTACCTAGGTAAAGACCCAGTATGGATGTTATAACAAAATAATCCTTCTGTTTTCTAAGACCATTAAAATCTTTTTAACTGAGTTACTTCGGTTGCTAGTATTTTTACAATTTTTGTGGGAGGTGGGTTACTAGCACAGCTTCATATATACAGTAATTTCGCATAGCAAAAAGACTGCAGGTAAATAAGGAGCTGAATAAAGTTATAGTGGTATCATGTAAAAACCAGTAACTTCATATTTTGTTTGAATTATAGGCTTATTTGGAAGAAACCTTATCTTTTATGTTGAGTATAACATGTCCCACTTTGTGTCCATATTTCAGAATTGATAAAATGATAACCCAGAAAAATTGAGAGCAAATTAGTTATTTCAGAAGTATTAGCTTTTCCCAGGAGAATTCTGAAAAACTACTTTGATTATGCAATACAGTGAACATATTTTTAAGTCTTCCTTGTTGCTGCAATGGAAAATTAAATTCAGAGTGATAAGAAGTCTTGACAGGTTACCTTAGTGTTCATCTGTCCTCCTTATTTTTCCTGCTGGAAAAATTGACTTAGCTGCTATCTGTGACACCATGTCTTTTGGAAGAAACTTGCATTGCACACAGCCACATGATATTAAAGTTGCTCAAAAAAAGTTGCAAAAATCAGAAGAAAAGACTAAAGCCAAGCTGTTAAAGAGAAACTGAAGAAAACATTCCATAAAAAGAACAGTTAAGTCAGAGGAGAGGAAAGAAAATTGAATGTTGAAATATTACTGGTTTTTAAATCAAGTAATCACAAAATTGTGAATAGCAGCTTGGTTTAACCTTGCTTGTTCTTGTGTTAATTAATATTGCAGCTATGCATATATCAGAACTACCGTGGAGATTTTTTTTGTAGTGGGGGAGCCAGGGAAGGATAATAAAAATGTTCCAAAATTTAGTTGTATGTGTCAGAAGAGCATTTTATCTTTTCATTAAGCCTTTAGGAATGTTACTTTGAGTTATTCTAGTTCATTGTTTTGTTTTGTTTACTGGGCATTCTGACATAAAAGAATGTTGCTTTGATTTCGAAAATTTGGCCTGTGTTATAACGCATGTGGTACACCTGTTCCAGTTGCTGAAACCCTGCCTGCTTTTTGGTGTTGTAAAACTATTAATAGTTATCAATATATTATCAGGAGGATGCTTTTAAGTTTTAAGAGTTCGTGAGTTGTGAGTTTTTTCACACACGTATGGCTACACAAATCTCATCTTAGACTCTTTTCAAGTGTCTGTAGGAATTATTCTGTCATCACTGGTTTTTTTAAAGGTTTACTTTAACATGGTAGCTGGATGTAGGGAATTGCTTAGAAAAAGAGAGTGATAATATCGTTTGGAGGAGAAAATGGGAGAATGATTTGAAGAGCATGCCAAGTGCTTACTTTTAAAATACATTGGGTATCCCAATAAAATTACTAAATTTATCATAAAAGTTTTGAAATACCTTTTTTGTTTTATTTTGTTTTATATTCCATACAGGAACTTTGTATTGATGGCCACTAATTTGTGTGTTTTTATCTTTTTCCCTTTTTTGTTGTTTGTTTTGTTTTGTTTTTGTTTTTGTTTCGTTTTGCATGCTGTCCCCTGTGTTGGAACTCTCTTTAGAGAGTAAGTTGGTTCAGTATTTGTTGGAAGCCTAACCTTACTTGCATGAATGTGCAATTAACCCTTTTTCTCTATTTTTCTTCCCCAAAAAGTTCATGCAGCGTCAAGCCTTTTGCAATCATAAAATGCTATATACAATTATGTGAACTGTGTGGTAAAGTTTCGAGATGTGCTTTATCTACTAATTAACTGACATTGTTTGGTTAT